AGGCAGGCAGACAGGCATGTATGTATGTATGTATGCATGCATGTATGTATGTATGTATGTATGTATGTATGTATGCATGTATGCATGCATGTATGTATGCATGCAATTATGTATGTGTCTATATATATGTGTATAAGTACTCGCAACAAAAAAAAACAACGAGTCAGCATTGCAGTGGGACGGTGACTTGAAAGGTCCGAGAACCAGAAAAAAAACACACCGAAAACATTGGGAAGAAACACGTGCACATTCGATCGCGTGTTTGCGAGTCCTGTGCGTGAGGACACTACGCGGTAAAGTGGGCAGGCCACGACCTCTAGGACGGTCGTGGGACAGAGAGACCAACACATTCATTCTCTTGTGTGAATGTAGAGCAGGAGAGCGGGAGAGCGAGAGAGTGGGAGAACGGGGGAGCGAGAGAACGGGAAACCGGGGGGGGAGCGGGAGAGCGGGGGTGGCGGGAGAGCGGGAGAGCGCGGGAGCGCGGGAAAGCGGGGGGGCGGGAGAGCGGGAAGGGCCAGGGAGCGGGAGAGCCAAAGAGCGAGAGGCCGCGGGGGCGGGGGGGCGGGAGAGCGGGAGCGCGGGAGAGCGGGGAAAGCGAGACTGCAGCGAAAAAGTGGAGAGCGGGAGAGCGGGAGAGCGGGGGAGCGGAAGAGCGGGGCAGCGGGAGGGCGGCAAAGCGGGGGAGAGGGAGAGCGGGAAACCAGAAGATCGAGAGAAAACGGGGGGGGCGGGAGAGCGGGAGAGCGGGATAGCTGGAGAACGAAGGACCGGGAACGCGGGAAAGCGCGCACGTTCGTCTTAGAAGTTTGCAGCAGTTTCAAGTGTAGGGCAGCTCTTTTCTACATTGTGGTTTTCGCCTTAGCGCCACGCGCATTCGCTGTAAAAAATGTACAAACGGATAGAGAACGGCTAGGTTTCGAAATGTTGCTCTCGCATTACCGCCGCGCGCGTTCGTCTGATCATGTTGCGGCTTGTTTAAAAGATGGGGGCGGTTCTTTTGTTAATGTGGCTCTCGCTTCGGCGCCGCGGGCATTCATCTGAAAAGTTCGCCAAAGTTCCCAGGAACTCCCAAGGTTCAGATCCCTGGAGAGATGTTTTGGCACGACGTCGGACTCTTAGGACGCAGCTGTCACGTTGAGCCGCGCTGCTGAAATCCCAAGACTACGGCGGAGGTGGGCTTAAAGTTTCCAACGCGTGCCACTGGCGTTACTTCGCGGCATTGGAGTCCGGGGGATGGTGCTTTGGCGCGAGGGAGAACTCTCAGACGGTTGCTTTCCAAAGGGGCACCTCCCGCAGCGAGATGCTTGCTTCCCTTAGTGCGCAGGCCCCCGGCGCTCTCCGTGCAGCGCCCGTTGCAAGCAAGCACTGGAAGAACCATCTTGGACCCACGCGCGCGTGCGCGGCTGTTCCGCTTGGCAAGGCCGCGGAAGACCGGGACACAGCAGGGCCATGGAGAACCCGGACAGACCAGTGTTCCAAGCCAAGAGACGGGTGAAGACAGATCCCACATCTCTCCGGTGGGCGGGGCCTCTAACCTGTAGTCGTCCCACACTGTCCAATTTCCATTAGATTCCACCCGAAAGTCGACGCAGACATCGCGGCTGATCTAAAAGCCCTCAGTCGAAGACAAACATTGAACATTCAAGGAAGCTTGGTCCGAAGCGAAGTCTACCTAACGCACACACTACCGGGTCGATCTAGTGCAGGCAGCAGTCAGTGATGTACTTGCGTGGGCATACGATAGGACAAGACAAATCAAGTCCATATCCCGATCACGCCTAACACGGGAGGGGGGAGGAACAGAGGAGGGCAAAGACACGTGGATATTCGCAAGAAATAGAACAGGTGGAAGTCCAGGTAGATGTAGCAGACGTGCTGGTAGCCGTCCCAGGGGTGGGTCGAGGCCGAAGGGCGCCTGGAAACTGGTACCGTGGAACGGGTTTGTCCAGGAACCCAGCTGCGCAACGTCCCGCGCCTGGGGCTTGTATTGAATTCAGGAGTTGGAGACGGAGCCGGATCAGGAGTCAAAGACGTAGTTGTAGCCAGAGTTTGCGCTGGAATCGGGATTGGGGTTGAAGCCATAGCAAGCGTCGGAAGAAGAATCGGAGCTGGAGTCGGAATCCGTGTCGACCGCCGGAGCGGAGCCCCGAAGTGCTGTTCTGTGTCGCCGTGGGCGCGAAGGAGCCTGTGGTGACCGTCGGCGGTGAGAACCACGCCGTTGCAGAGTCGGAGACGCGGCGCTGGTAATCGTGGTTGTGCTGGAGATGCGGATGATGGGGCTGATGGCAGTGGGACTGGCCAGTCGTGATCGTGGTCGTGTTGGCGGCTTCAGAGGCGCAGGTGGGCGCGTGTCGCGACCTGTGTGCTCCGGCGCCGCTCACAAGGCAACAGCTTCGAAGCTGTCGCGCAGCTGCTAGATAGGCGACAAGAGTGGCTGCGGGTGCTGCTGCTGCAACAAACGTTCCCGGCAAATTGGGTTACCTCAAGATCCCGTAGCAGACCGATAGTTGTCCCAGCCGTGTGGCCGATAGTTGCTTCTGGAGTCGGGGCTGGGGTCGGACTCATCGATACGTCCCGAAGCATGGCGGAGCTGGAGCCCGCGTCGGTAGAGGAGTGGGAGCTGTGCCCCGCGATGAAGAAAAGTGGTGTAGGGCCTTCATATAAAAAGGGAACTTGATCTACCTCATACAAAAGGAGAGCTTGAAGGGAGGGTATACTGCCGCATAGTTGATGCGTCTTGGGGGAGCTCTGGTTCCGCTCCTCCTCCTCCTCCTCCTCCTCTTCCTCCTTCTCCTCCTCCGCTTCTCCTTTTCCTTCCTCCTCCTCGCCTTCTAATCCTGCCCCCCGCCCCTCTTCCTCCTCACCTGGTCGTTCGCCTCATTGTCCTGTCCCCCCTCCTCCTCCTCCGCCTCGCCCCATCTTCCTGTCCCCCCTCCTCCTCTTCCTCCTTCTCCTCCTCCTCCTCCTCCTCCTCCACCCCCTCCTTCTCACCTCATAGTCCTCTCCCCCACTTCTGGCCTCTCACCTTCTCTTACTTCCCCGCCTCATCATCCTCCGTCCTCCCCCCCTCACCACAGACCTGTCCCATCCCCGCCCCTGTAAGCCCCGCCATCTTGGCGACTGCGCCCCGGCGTTGAACCAATCTCGCCAGGCGCTCGCCTCCGCGGACCTCGCCGCCTTCAGCACCTCCCAGCGCCCCTCCCCCCCCCACAGCCCGCGAGGAACTGGAGGAGGGAGGAGGGAAGGAATGGGAAGGGGCTGGAGGAGGGGAAGGAGGACGTGGGGGGGAGGGGAGGGGGAGAGGGAAAGTAGGGGAAAGGAAGAGGAGGATGATGATGATGAGGAGGAGGAGGCGGAAAAGGAGGAGGAGGAGGAGCAGGAGGAACTGGAGGAGGACGTCCTCGCCTACCCCCGTCCCCCCGCGCTTCCCCTCTCTCCCCTGCCGAGGGAGGAGGAGGAGGAGCAGGAGGAGGAACAGGAGGCCCTCCAGAGACGGCCCTCGAGCTCAGGAGGTCGGTGTCTGGATCGCGCATTTGCTCCTGCTGTGGCAGGCAGGACCAATCGTTCCTCCAGCTTTTGGGGAGGAATAGAAGGATGAGGAGGAGGAGGAGGAGGAGGAGGAGGAGGAGGAGGACACATGTCACTGCAAGGTCACATGTCACTGCAAGGTCACATGTCACATATGTCACTGCATGGTTGTGCGCGGCCGCGCCCGCCCCCCCCCCCCAACCCAGCCTGAAACGCCAAGGCACCATAGGCACCGGCCGCGAATTTGTTGGCTAGTGTCTCTGGCACCATCAACACCGCGGCGTCGTCCAACCCCCAGCTGAAGATTACCTCGTCAGCCTGTCTAGTGCTACCAAGCACAACGCAGGCCATGCTGCACGATGTGGGTGAACGATGGGTCAAGTGACCAGCAAAATTGTTGGCATCAAAAACGAACGAAGCGCCTGCACAACGATCTGCGCATCACAAAAACGACGGCTGCGCACTCGTACAGGACGGATCATCTTACTGAGAGTGTGCCATATCAGGGGCAGATGTTGCGAGCTTGTGCGTGCAACAAGCGCGCCTCGTGCTAAGCTATAACAAAAACACGTCGAATCAAACGATTGAACATTCATGTACCCTGATCGCGATAAGCACGCATGCAATACATACTTGACCTGTGTCGCAACGAAGCACTCGTTGAGCCACAGCATGCACAAGCACACGATCACCAACATCGTGGGGCGCATGTGTTTACAACCAACGGCCATGCTGTGATGATCGCGAGCTCTGGAGCAGCAATGCGAATAACACTGCTTTGCGCTGAGTGTGCTCACAAAGTCGAGATGGGCACGCGGGTTGCCGGCTATGCCTCGTACTGGCGAGTGGCGTACAGGCCCAAGCCGTCGCCGAGTGCGCTCGGCTCGAGTTCCACGGCCTATGCCGCACCAGCGCGTGGCAGCGCTGCAGTGAGACACACACACACAGTCACACACGCGCATACACACACACACGCGCGCGCAGACATGCGACCTCCCTGAGCACCAGATTCATGTATGCATGCACGCAGCGTGTTGACAACTCTGTCTTCGTATGGTGCGTAAATCATCCGTAGTTTTTTCCTACAGCCATGTGCCTTGAAGGGCTTGTCTGATTGATCCCCTGAACGGTTTGACACTGTGCGGTAACTTCAGCAATTCCAGTGTACGCATATACATTTGCATATACATGTACACAGACATAGACATTGGCATAGACATAGACATACATAGAGAGAGAGAGTCCACCCTCTGCCTTGCAGAACCTGTACATGTATTAGTTCGATGCGGACCTGTCTCCCTGCAGATGTAAAATTGTATGATTACATACATGATTGTATGCATGTATGTATGTGAGTGTATGTATGTGCGTATGTATGTGTGTACGTATGTCTGTATGCATGAATGTATGTATGTATGTTTGCATGTATGTATGTATGTATGTATGTATGTATGTATGTATGTATGTATGTATGTGTATATAGTACATATATATATATATATATATGTACAAGACTGCATTGGCGCTTCGCACCATGCACCTTGGTCCTTGAAGTTTGGCATGCAGGCGGAATGGCAGGAAACTTAAACAGACAATTTAGCGAAAACTCTTTTTCTGCTTCCGCATACTAGCCTTGCCCTGTTTCGTTATCCGTCCTCGATGTTTACTGTATGTTTCCTCCTTCTCGCCCTATCTTCCGAATTCCTTCCCATCCTTCTCAGCTATGTTTGCGGAGGCTCCTCCTCGGGCCACCCTGCCTCCAACCGCGGTCTCTCTGAACGACCCGGTCACGATTTGGAATGCTTCGGAGAGCGTCTTGGGGCCATGTTGAGCCGTCATGGGGCTCTCTTAGGCCATCTTGGAACCCTGTTCTGCCGTCTTGGGGCTCTTTGGGACTGCCTGGAAGCCTTTCCGGATCGTTTTGGGGCAACTTTCGAGCCTCCCAGGCGGTCTCGGACGCCCAGAAGACCGAAGAACAGGGCATTGCCTAAATCATGCGAAACCTGGGACATCGATATACATATAGTTTTTTTTATATATATATATATATATATATATATATATATATATTATATATATATATATACGTGTGTGTGGGTGGGCGTGCGTGCGTGCGTGCGTGCGTGCGTGCGTGCGTGCGTGCGGGTGCGTGCGTGCGTGCGTGCGTGCGTGCGTGCGCGCTTGCGTGCGTGCGTGCGTGCGTGCGTGCGTGCGTGCGTGCGTGCGTGCGTGCGTGTGTGTGTGTGCGTGTGTGTGTGTGTGTGTGTGTGTGTGAATGTGTTGTGTGTGTTCTGCGTTTTGGAAGCCTCTTGGGGGTCTTCTTTGGGCCGTCTTCTGGCGTCTGGTTGGTGCCTGGGGCCTCTTGGGGCCCTCGGAGGGGCGATCGGCCACCCTCCTGACCGAATTGGGCCCGCTTCCAAGAACTTTGAAACGCCAGGGGGAGCTCCTGCAGGGGTGTCCAGGGGGTCCCCATGGCCACGGATCCAGGTCCACAGGGTCCTGGGGGCCCGGGATTCGGGGGGTCCGATTTCAGGGCAGGGTCCCGGGCAATAAAAGTATATAAATGGGAATATACGCGTGTGTGTATGTATGTATGTATGTATGTATGTATGTAAGTATGTATGTAGGTAGGTAGGTAGGTAGGTAGGTAGGTAGGTAGGTAGGTAGGTAGGTAGGTAGGTAGGTGGGTAGGTCGGTAGGTAGGTAGGTAGGTAGGCAGGTAGGTAGGTAGGTAGGCAGGCAGGTAGGTAGGTAGGTGGGTAGGTGTATGTATGTATGTATGTATGTATGTATGTATGTATGTATGTATGTATGTATGTATGTATGTATGTATGTATGTATGTAGTATATAAATATATATGTATATACACCAGAGTAAGAAAGCCGAACGGTCATTAATTGACCCTGGGTGCATGGCTGGAGTGGGGATCCGTGCTGGGGATTCTGCTCCTTGCGTTGTTGCGTTGTTGTTGTTTGTTGTCGTCGTCCCACCCGCGACCCACCCGCGACCCATCCCGCGACCCACCAATCGACCCATCCCGCGACCCACCCCGCGACCCACTCCGCGACTCACCCGTGACCCAACCTGCGACCCACCTGCGACCCACACCGCGACTCACCCGCGACCCAACCTGCGACCCACCTGCGACCCACCCCGCGACCCACCCGCGACCTCTCCCGCGACCCAACCCGCGACCCACCTGGCGACCCACCCGCGACCCACCTGGCGACCCACCCGCGACCCATCTGGCGACCCACCTGGCGACCCACCCGCGACCTACCCACATTGGTTTAATAGTAAAATCTGCGCCTGCGGCGGGCTCGTTGTATAATTACTGGAACTTTGGCGCCTGCGGCGGGCGTCTTCAGAGTCTCGCAGACCGCCAATGTTCCCACCGCCCCCTCACTCATATCCGCATCTGCGGTTTGCTACGTGAATGTATGTGTGTGTATATATATATATATATATATATATATATCCCGAAACAGTGCTTGCACTTAGGGGTCCATGTTTCGGTTCTGCGGATCTGGGGCCGTGTCTTCGGTCTGGCGGCTATGTGGCCGCCGTCGCCGCTCCGTCGCCGCCCGTCGTCTGGGCCATGTCTTCTTTCCGGCGGCTATGTGACCGCCGTCGCCGCCCCGTTGCCGCCTCGTCGCCGCCTCGTCGCAGCCCGTCGCCGCCATTTGATTGCACCACGCAGTTTGCAGAAAAAGATTGCGAGCTTCATGGTCACTCGCAACACAGATTGCACCACATAGGCTGCACAATATACATTGTCCTCTGACAGAGAATAGACTCGACCCCCCCCCCGGGACTATCGACCCCCCTTTTTCGTACCCCACCGTATACATGATTCTGCCCCATTGTCCATCCCAAAAATGAATTCGCACCATCCCAAGCAGGCTGGTATCGCCCCCCCGCCATCCTCTGCAACAGGATACTATGCGTGCGCACTCGCTTATCAATAATAGTGATAATGTCATTTCTGTTGTGTTTTCTCTCTCTTGTTTTTCCAACTAAGAGCCCCCAGCGACACATGAAACGACGTGCGCACGCGCGCGTCGTCGCGCGCGCATGCCGAAATCTTTCCAAAAACACCGGTCCCGTAAGGATTTCAAAATCGAAGGTCCAAACAACATCTAAAATACATGGTTTCGCAACGCGGGCTTTCAACACAGCCAAAACAATGCGCACGCTTTCTTACGAATTCTTGAAAAACAAACCATAGGTTTTCGGCTTATTCCGAACATGTTACCAAACGGGCTTTGCGCGCGCATGTCGAATCTTCCGAATGCATTTGCACGCGTGCTGTCGCGAGAACCCTGTGCAACAAAGGAGACGAGGTGCACGCGCGCGCTCGCCGTCGCGCGCGCATGCCGAAATCTTGTAAAAACCGATTTCGAAACCGAATGTCCAGCGCTCGTACAAAAAGCACACGGGTTTGCAACATCCGTTTTCGAAAAATCGTGCGTCCGCGCTTTTGCGCATTTTTGAGAAAACCACACAACTTGTTGTGTTAAAACGTCCATGGGATTCTGCCAAACAGGCCTCTGGCGCCGCATGCCGACATCACTCGCACGCCCTAGCGCGCGCTGGGGGGGGGGGCACGATCCGTGTCAAATAAAGCCATGCGGGCCACTCTCGCGCGTCGGCCGCCCGCGCAGTTCGAACCCTTTCCAAAACCTGCATCGCCGACGCGAGGACGCCGTCATCGTCGTCGGCGTGATCCGCATCGGCGCCCGCACTGGCCGCGCCTTCGTCGGTGTCTACATCGTCACCAGCATCGCAAGTATCATCATCGTGTCTACCGTTGTCGACGTTGCCATGATTCCGCGCCCGCCCAAGTCGCCGACTCGCAGTGAAGTGCCCGCTGGGATGTGCCCAGCGGTCAGGGCCACCGCGGCCGCGGCGGCAGCGCCAAACTAGCTGGCCGCTGCGCGCGCGTGCATGGTGCATGGGTTGGCGCGGCCGCAGAGATGCACCAGCCAATGCCAAGCATGCATCGCAATCGCCACCGCATGGGTTTTGCAAACCAAGTTGCGGGTGGCTGGGCGGGACGTTTGCAAGAACATGGTGTGTAAACCCGTTTGTTGAAATTCACTGCACCACGCTAATTGCACAACCACATATACAGCCTCATAATGGTTCTCTTTTCTAAAAAGGAAACAGGTGCTACCACCCTCCCCCCTTGGGGTTAAATATTCACGTCTTCGTGTTGAATTTGCAAATGGTTGCGTCCCATCGTCCACCCTAACTGTGATTCATACTATTCCAACCAAGCCGGCATCGCCCCCCCCCCCCCCCCCCCCCCGCCACCCTCAGCAACAAGTGCAATGCGCGCGTTCGCTTTATCACAAATCATAAATTCTCAAGCAAGAAACCTTGTAAACTATGTGACGAATTGCACACGCGCGCGTCGTCGCGCGCGCATGCCGAAATCCTTCGAAAAACCTTCCATTTCGGATGTCAAAATCGAGTGTCCCAAAAACAAACGAAAAAAAATGGTTTCGCAACGCGGATTTCCAAAACAAACTTGCGCGCGCGCTCTTGCGAATTCATGAGGAAGCCACAAGATGTTTCAACATTTTCTGAAAATGCTACCAAACGGGCTTGGCACGCGCGCGTGTCGAAATCGTTGGGGCGCCCTTGCGGCCGCGCTGGGGTGGCACGATCCGTGCCGAAGAATACCATGCGGGCCACTCTCACGCGTCTGCCGCGCGCGCATTTCGAACTCCTTCCAAAACCTTAATCACCGACGCGAAGACGCCGTCATCGTCGTCGGCGTGATCAGCACCGGCGCCGTCACTGGCTGCCCCGTCGTCGCTGTCAGCATTGTCGCCAGCATCGCTACACGCATCATCGCGTCTACCGTTGTCGACGGTGCCATGATACCGCGCCCGCCCAAGTCGCCGACTCGCAGTGAAGTGCCCGCTGGAATGTGCCGAACGGTCAGCGCCTCCGTGTTCGCGTCGGTCGCGCCAAACTAGCCGGCCGCTGCGCGCGCGAGCATGCGCGGGCTACCGCGGCTGCAGAGATGCACCAGCCAACGCGGAGCACTCATCACAATCGCTTCCGCGTGGGGTTTGCTAACCAAGTTGCGGGTGGGCGGGTGGGATATTTGCGCGAGCAGTGGAGTGGGCAACTTCAGGTTGAGCAAGCGAATTTCACAACATTAATTCTCCTTTCTAAAAAAAGAATAGACTCTACCCGCCCCCCCTCCCCCGCGGAGCTAACGGGCCACACCTTCGCATCGCAATTTACATATGATTCTGCCCCATCGTCCAATTTTGAGTTCATTGTATCCCAGCCAAACCGGCATCGCCCCCCCCCCCGCCATCCTCTGCAGAAAAATCTACGCGCGCACACTCGGTCATCAAAAATCATAATATGTCAAGACCTCCTTGCAAAAATGGGACGAAGTGCGCGCGCGCGTCGTCGCGCGCGCATGCCGGAATCCATCGAAAACCTTTGGTTCCGGAAGGATTTCAAAATCGAGTTCCCAAAGAGCATGCAACAAATCAAGGCTTCGCAACATTTTTTATACAAAATAGCGTATAAAAGAACTCACGCGCGCGCTATTGCGAAATCTGACGAAAACCTTACGATTTTAAGATTTTCCAACAATGCAACCAAACGGGCTTCGCGCGCGCACGCCGAAATCTTTCGAACACACTTGCGCGCGTGCCGCAGCGAGAATCCGGCGCCAAACATAAAAGTGCAGACGCGCGCGTCGTCGCGCGCATGCCGTAATCCTTCAAAAATCTTCGGTTTCGGAAGGATTTTCATAATCGCGTGTCCAAACACATCCAAGAACACAATGCCTCGCAACGCAAACTTTCAGCAAAAACGTGCGCGCGCGCTCTTGCGTCGTCGTCGTCGTCGTCGTCGCCGTCCTCCCTCCTCCCTCGTCGTCGTCGTCGCCGTCGTCGTCCCCTGCCTGTCCTCGTCGTCGTCGTCGTCTTGGCGTCGTCGTGAGCTTCCGTCGTCGTTGTCGCCGTGGTCGTCCTTCCTCCCTCGTCGTCTTCGTCGGCGTTTCGCCGTTGTCCCTCCTATTTCGTCGCCGTCGTCGTCGTCGTCGTCGCCATCGTCGTCCTCCCTCCTCCCTCGCCGTCGCCGTCGTCTGCGTCGGCGACGTCGTCGTCGTCGTCTTCCCTCCTCCCTCGTCGTTGTCGTCATCGCCATCGTCGTCTTTCCTCCGCCCTCGTCGTCGTCGTCGCCTTCGTTGGCGACGTCGTCGTCGTCGTCGTCGTCGGCGTCGTCGTCGTCGGCGTTGTCATTGTAGTCGTCGTCGTCAGCGTCGGCGTCGTCGTCGTCGGCGTTGTCGTCGTCGTCGTCGTCGTCGTCGTCGACGTCGTTGGAGACTCGCCCGCAACGTCAACCGTTGTCGACGGTGCCATGATACCGCGCCCGCCCAAGTCGCCGACTCGCAGTGAAGTGCCCGCTGGAATGTGCCGAACGGTCAGCGCCACCGCGGCCGCGTCGGTCGCGCCAAACCAGCCGGCCGCTGCGCGCGCGCGCATGGGTTGGCGCGGCCGCAGAGATGCACCAGCCAATGCCAAGCATGCATCGCAATCGCCACCGCATGGGTTTTGCAAACCAAGTTGCGGGTGGGTGGGTGGGATGTCTGCAAGGGCACGGGATGTGTCAACTCGTTTGTTAAAATCAGTTCCACCACATAGATGGCACAAGCACGTTGGTTGCACATCGTAGATTGCGCATCGTAGATGGCACATCATAGGGAGCACGCCGTAAGTCTGCACAACATATATTACACCACATAGATTGCCCAACGTAGATTGCAGCACTTGGATGGCGCGATTCGTCGTTCGCGCCTGCGGCAAGCAGTTTGATCGCTCCCAACATCGACCGTGCTAGATAAATGGCACATCTTCGATTGCAGAACGCACATGTCGCACCGCATTTATTGCTGCACGACAAATACTGGACATCACCGATAGCACCACGTAGATGGCATAACATACGTTGCACAACATAGGTTGCTAGAGACACACGATTCGGGGCCCACGCCGGCTAAAAACAAATCCCCAAAACAATGCTTGCACTTGGGGGTCCTTGCTTGTCCTCTGGGGATCTGCGCCGCGTGGTCAGCTTGTCGGCTATGTAGCTGCCGTCGCCGCCCCGTCGCCGCCCATCTTTTTGGCCGCGCGGTCGCTTTGGCGGCCATGCAGCCGCCGTTCCCTCCCGGACGCCGCTCCGACGCCCCTCGCGGCCTCCGTTGGACTGCGCCGCGTAGATTGCGCGAGCAAAAATAGACGCCGGCGGCGCGCTCTTTGGCCGCCCACAACATTGAGTCTCCTTTTCTAACAGGAATAACTTGGACCCCCCCCCCCTCGCCCAGGAATTCCCCCCCCCGCCCTGGGGCTGTTTTATTTGCACGTGCGATGCCCCATAGTGCATTCTGAATATGAACTCGCACAATCCCAGCCAAACCAGCATCAAATCCCTGCAAACAACACTATGCGCGCACACTCTTTCACAAACAATCATCCATGTGCAAGAACCCATGCGTGGGGCGTGTATATCTATATGCGCGTGTGTGAGCTGCTGCACTCGGCGGGGAAATCTTCTGCTACCGCGTGCCGCTCGCGTTGGCGAAGCTTGCAGACGCATGGAAAAACCGGGTGAAGTAAGGGGAGCGGGATAAAAAAAGGGAGGGCGGGAGCCGAAGGGAGACTGCGGAGCCCCGGGGCCCTCCCCAGTTTGAACGGGTTCGTTCTGGCCAGATACATCAAGTCATGTCGCTCTCAACCTTCCCGTGCGCGCGCTGACAGGTTAGCTGCTGCATTGGGCGGGGGGCGCTTTTGCTTCCGCGTGCCACCTGTCTCGGCGAAGCTCACAGACGCATGGGGGCCCCAACATCCCAAAGAGTTCGCTCGGAGAGTGAGGAGGGCTCAAAAAGGTCAATTGCTACTAAATCCCCGTGGCGGGTGGGCAGATAGTTTAACATGCAATCTGCTACTTTCGGCGGGTAGGAGGCTGGGGATGTCCGCGTGGCCCCAGACGGGGCCTTGCCCTCGAGGGCGACGCGCGGTTCCCCCGAGGCCGAGCAACTCCCGCCAAAACTGCGACAGCGCCGCTCGAGCTGTAGGGCATACTGAGGGTCGACACCGGAAAAAAATGCTTGGTGCGTTTCCACCAAAGGACTCCGAATTGGCACTGGTCACAGACACGGGCGCGCATACTGCCTACCGTCATCAAATGTTTCAGCTGTGGCGCGTGCCAAGTTCTACTGTTGATCGGATGCTCGAGCACGAAAGGGGCCCCAGCACGGACAAAGACGCCAATGCGCTTCAGGGCTGCTAAACGTACTTCGCCACCTGCTGCGATCCAACCTCGCGTGTATTCGGTGGCGCCCGGGACCCCTCAAGGTGTGGCGCCGAACGCTCAGCTCAGGTGGCCCCCCTCGGTCGGCCGCCGTGGCCGAGCGCAGCAGCTATAACTTCCTTTCTGGCGACAGCAGCCATACTTCTAGCGATGACAACTGGACGAGTGAGGTCTTCGCCGGCACCATTCTGATTGTCAAACCTGTGACAAGTAAAACCTCTCCCCAACGCGGCGCGTCCTATGGAGTCAGAAGCCTGCGAAGACATCTAACGCATACTTGAGGCAGCGGCTCGCCCATCCTACAAGATAATATTCTGAGCACCTTTTCGAGCAGTACGTTCTCTAGACGACGTTCGCAATCTGTCAGCGTTTCTCGCAGAGCCGCGACGCCTTCTCGCACCGCTGCGTTGACTTGCTTGCCATGCTTCCACTGACCTCTCTTCTGGATATCCTCGAGCGTTCTGTAATGTCTGGCTACGTCGATGCTTGGGCCCAAGTGCCAGGCCTGGCATGGTACTGCGTGCTGGTCCATCTGCAAGTCCTGCAAGGCCAGCCTGAACATCTTCTTGAATCGTGGGTAGCTGAACTCCCAGACCAGCTCTTCGGGATCCACGATGGCGAGCTCGCGGAAGATGGGCGTGGCACACTGAAGCCAGCTGCTGCCGAGCATGACTCCGACGTTCGCCAGGTCAGTCTTGCTTGTCTGCGGCTTGTTCTCTGGGGGCAACAGCAGGGGCCGCCAGCGGCGCGCTCCGGGCGCGGGCGCGATGATGTTGCAGCGCGTCAGGGCGAGCAGGTGGCCGGGCAGGACGCAGCCCATCTAGAACGCCTTGCGCGCGCCCGCGCGCCGCGCCGGCCCGCGCCAGAGAGCCGGCGGCCAGGCCAGACGGCCCCGTCCAGGCGCCAGCTTCCGCCTGCCCCGGAGGCGCCTCCAAGCTCGCGTGGTCTTCGCCTCCCCCTGCTTCGAATTCTCGCGGAAGCAGCGGATCGGCCCCGTCGTCGCCTGGTCGCCCTTTGCGGACTCGTGGCCGTCGAAGAACAACTGGTTCACGTAGTCCACGATGGCCTCGTCCACCTGCAGCGCGGTCTCGAGGGGCCGCGTCGGTTCCTCGTCGCAGTGCCCCAGGAAGGGACCCAGCTCCAGGCCGCGCCTCCGCTTCGCAGGGGCGAACGCCGAGCGGCGCTCCACGAAGGTCCGGCCCTCCCCGGCTGCGCTGTCCAGCAGCGCCTCGGCTCGGTGGGTCCGCCTGCGCTTGCTGGCCCTCCTCAGCGCAAAGCGGGGGGTCCTCCATCCCTGTCGCAGCCGCCCAGGCCCCCTAGCGCGCGGAGTCCGCGGCGCCGCGCGCAGCTCCGCTCTTAGCGGGCACTCCAGGAGCAAGCTCTAAGTGAAGGAGGAGCGACGGGCGCGCGCACTAGCAGCAATGCCAGGGAGACACGGAGGACTCGGGCTTCAAAGCGCCGCGCGCACGTCCCTGGCGGCCTACTGGGGCGCGTGGGCAGACGCCCTTCACATGCTCCACCAGCGGCGCCCTGTCGAGGCTACTGTAATCAGGGATCTCCTCGACGGCCACCAGCCAGGACGCGGGGGCAATCTCGCCGCCGCCGCCGAGGCCGCACAGGCGCTCGAAAGCGAAGGCTACCAGAGACCAACCTGGACCGACCTGCTCCACGGGCCCCGCCCCGAATCGCCGCCGCGCTCGGAAGCCGCCGAGCTGGGGGAATGGCAGCATGGCTACTCGTCGCGGTCGTGGTGGTGGTGCTGGTCGTCGTCGTCGTCGTGCTGCTGCTGTCCGTGGTGCTAGTCGCCGTCGTGGTGGCGGTGTTGCTGGTCGTCGTCGTCATCGTGGTGGCGCTGCTGGTGGTGCAGCTGTTCGCCGTCGTGGTGGTGGTGCAGCTGTTCACCGTCGTGGTGGTGACCCTCCTGGGCGCCGTCGCAATGGTGGCGCTACGGGTCGTAGTCGCGGTGCGGCGGCGGTGGCGTTCGTCGCCCCCAGCCCTTGCGCCGCTGGGGGCCGCCCGCCTCGGGGGCGCGCCGGCATGCTGCTAGGGGCTGGCGCTTCGGCGCGGCGCGCGTCCACGAGGACGTCTTGCAACCGTGGCTCGTCGCCGTCGCAGGCGAGGCCGTCCAGGGGCAGGTGCAGCAGAGAGGGTGCGAAGGCCCGCTGCGCCGCCACCGAGGCGAGCGAGGCCTGTCCACCGCTGGATCCACGCCGCCTTCACCGAGGCGCGCAGAAGCTCGGGCGCCGACTGGGCCTTGCAGTCCGCCAAGACGCGCGCGACTTGGAGGGCCACCTGGGACCACCGGCCTCCCACCTCCAAGGCCATGACCACTAGCCTGTAGCGCCTCGCGCCCAGGAGCTCCGGGTAGGCGTTCCCCTTGCGGCGGCGGGCCTCGCGGAGCCACGCCCCGCCCTCGTCTGCCGCGCGCGGGCGGGCCGCGCCGTCCCGGCCGAGCGGGCAGACTGGCGCGGCGTCCACGGCCAGCTGCGCTCCGCCCCACAGCGGCAGGCCGTCGGCGATCACTTCGAGCCGCCTGCCGTCGCCCGCGCCGACGCCGTCGACGTTGAGGTCCCGCGGGAATTGGTTCTCCACCACTCTCGCCCCCGCCTCGCGGCAGATGCGGGCCGTCGCCATCTCCAGGGGTGCTCCCCGCTCCTTGAGGGCGCCAGCTGTGGGGCGCGCCGCCCCGTGGCCTCCTCTGCTGTCGAGTCGCGCTCTGCACCTGCGCGCGCCCGCCGCGAATGGCAAGTCAAGGCGCGGGCAGCGCAGGAGGAAGGCGCGCAACTCTGAGGGTGGAACCCGCATGGGCTCGCTCGTGGGCAAGACCGTGAACGCGCGGCCAGCGCGCGGGCCGCTCTGGGAGCGCAGCATGGCGCGCTCCGGCGTGCGCATGCGTTGCACGATGCCCTCCCTGGCTCGGTCGTCTCTTGCCCGGGCCGCCCTGAACTGCCAGCCGCGCGCCCGCTCGCCCATCTCCCTGTCCACCGTGGGCGGGGGGCGCGCTCCCAGCGCCAGCGCCTTCCAGGTGGGCGAGTCGTAGCCTGCCTGGGCCAGCTGGCGCCGCGCCTCGGCCGCCTGGCGGAGCCCCGGTGGGAGCCCGGCCGCGTCTGCGTCGAGGGCCCGGCAGATGTCCGCGGTCAGAGCCGGCGAGCGTTCTCGCAGCATCGGCAGGCAGTCTGCCCAGGAGACCCACCACGCCGCGGGCGCCATGCGGGCAGCGAAGCGCAAGCCCAAGCCGCCGAGGCAGAGCGGAAGCTGCGCGACCTCCCTGGCCGTCTGTCCTGCGGCTAGCTGGTCCGGGGGGGTGCCCGAGAGGTCCGTGGCCGCCTGCGCCATGTGCTCGTCGCGGGCCGCCGCGAACTCGCGCGCGCCCTCCAGTGCCATGGTGCGCAGGTAGGAATTGGCGCGCGGGTTGGCGCACGTGCTCAGGAGCAGCCAGGCGGTCTGGAGGTCGCCAACTTGGCTCAGCCGGTTCAGGGGGGCACGGTGGTCTGCCAGCGGGGAGCGCATGTGATGGCGGGCGAATGCTACGTGCCCGATGGGCGTATCGAGGATCACCAGGCCCTGCTCGCATGGCGGTGCGGCGGTGTCTCCGACCCACACGCGGTCTCGCTCGGCGCCTAACTGTCGGACTCCTGGTGGTTCCACTCCTCCTGCGCTCCAGACCTTCGTCTCGCCCATGTTGACTCCGATGCCGCAGTACCTCTGGAGTGCGCTGCGGACCAGCTCGGGGTCTCCTCGCGATCGAGCTGAGGCTGACACCACGTATAGGTCGTCCAAGAATGCGAAGAGATGCCCCCGCGGAAGCAAGTGGGCCTGCATTTTTGCAGGACAGGGTGTTGGCCCAGGGCGAACAGCGCGGGCATCAAGGGATCGCCCTGCTGACCGCCTTCTGCCTGCTCCACTACGCGGGCGTCCCCGTGCTGGTCGGTCAGAGGCATTGCGAGCGGGGCCCGAATCACATTCTGCAGAAGGGCAGCGCTGAGCTCGCGGCCGAGAGGCCCACCAACCCCTGGGGCATGGCGTTGCGCGACATGAGGTCGAATGCGCCAATGCTGCTTAATTATGGAAAGCACTGTCGCCTCTGGGTTGGCCTGCGTCAAACTCTGGACGCGCTGCGCCGCGCATTCCGCGCCCGCTCTGGTGGGCAGGGCGAACTGACATGGTGCTGTGGCTGCCTTCACCTCCTCGTTGATCTGTTGGGGCACGCAGCGGGCCACCGGCCTCCTCAACACGCCTCCCGTCACGATACCCCTCGCCCTCTCCCGTTCGGCTTGGTTAGCGCCGTGAGCTGGCCCAGGCGCAAAGCGTCCGCCACCGGTCCATGGTAGCCTTGCATGCGCCATCCTCGTCGCCGCGTGGCGCAATAAGCCGCAGGCTTGCTCGTCTTCCATGAGTATTTGCAGGTGCTCGCCAGTCAGGCCCGACGGGCCCCGGGCGGCGCCCCTGCGGCAGCCGCGGAGGCTGCTGAGGAGCTTGTCGGACTCGAGAAGGATAGGCTCCGGGGCTAAAGCTGCCAAGTCCGCTCTCAGCGGCTCCCGCGGTTCGGCGAGCCTTCGTGCTGGGCCCCGCAGCTCCGCCAGCGTGGCCTCGGTCCCTGGCGCGATCGTGCTGGCTGTGAGGGCCTGGCGTGCCGCCGAGACTTCTCCTTGCTGTGCCAAGGCGTGCGCCCTCGCGCAGCGCTGCGAGAGCTCCTCGTCGCCCCCTGCTAGCGGCCGCCCACGGTCTCCTCCGCGACGCCTTCGGGCTGGGGGCGCTTGCAGGGGCGCCCAGTCGCCCGCCTCGAACGGGGCAAACCGTTCCAGCAGCTGTTCTTTGGGCGCCGTGCGGGTGCTGGGGCCCTTGCTCAGCAGCATACGTGGGATCAGGAAAAACAGCTTCCAGCCTCGGAGCTGGCGTGCCTCGTTGGCCCCCCCCCGCGTGGATCTCCCCCAGCGCTTGGCGCAGCGCGACGCGCAGGGGTCCCCAGAGGAAAGCTGAAGGGCTCCGCAGCGTGGCCACCCGTGTCTCGAAACTGCCTGCAAGTCTGCCCCGTCCAGCGCGTCTCTCTCTCTCTCTCTCTCTCTCTCTCTCTGCCCTGCGTAGGACTTCCCTCTGAGGAGGGCGTCGGCCTCTCGGCCCCTGCGCCGCCCCTCCGCCGTCGCCCTCTTCCTCTTCTTCCTCCTCCCCTGCCTCTGCAGCCCTGGGGGCTCCCGCAGCTGCGGAGGCGGGCGCTTATGGTGGCCCGTGTGGGTCTGGGCTTGGGCCCGGGTCTGTTCCGTCGCCCTGGCTGTCGTTGCCCTCGTCCCCTCCGTCGTTGCCGGGGCCTTCTTCCCCCCCGCCGCTTCCTCTGCCTGCTCTGGCGTCTCATCGTCCTCGGCCTCCTCGGGCGTTCCTTCCTCCTCTGCCTCCTCTGGCGCCTCCTCCGCTCGCGCCGTCGTTCGGTTCTGGCCCTGCGGGCGCCTGCGGCGGCGGGGGGGGCGAGTGCGGCGCGGCCGCCGCCCACGCCGTGAGGTTGCGCAGTTCGTCCGCGCGTTTGTCCATACCCTTCGCGAGCACCAGGCCGCCGAACGTCTGGGGCAGCAGGTCCTGCGCGAGGGGTGGTATGTTGGCCATTCGCGGCAGCCGCAGCTTTGGCCACTGGGGCCAAGTGAACGTGGCCCGGGCGATTGCCGCTGCCTGCTACTATCACGACGTACACTTCGCTGGGGCGGGCGCCAATGCATTCGAGACCTTGCGCGAACTCCTAGGCTGGCACTGGTTCGGCTTGCTCCAGCGCCTCTACCGTTGGTAGCCGCCGGACTTGTGCCAGGGGGCGCACGCCCCCCGCGCGGCCGAGCTCGGGCCATCCCCCCACCGGTGGTTGCAGAGCGGGCACGCCGCGCAATCTACCCGGCTGGAATCCCCGTCCGAATTCCGCAGGTGGGCGAGACCCCGGCGGAGGGGGCGGAACCTGGCCACGCAGGCCGCATGGAAGTAGCGTTGGACGTGGCCGCATGCAGTCTGGCCATTGCACCCGCGAGTTGTCGAGCAGTTCCTGGCCAATCTAGCAACGAGCTCCGGCGTCTGGCTCCGGCCCCTGCTGTTGCTGCGGCGGCGGCTGCTCGTCGGCTGGCTCGCGTTCTGCTGCCTCCCCCGCGGGGCGCAGGGCGGCAGGCGGCCGAAAGAGGCCCGAGAAGTCCCACCGCCTCCCTTCTGGCCGGGAAGACCTGCAGGAATCGCGCCGAAAATGATTTCGAAGTGGCTCAGCTGTGGTGGCGGTGGCGGTGGTGAGGCCGACCGACCGCCCGCCCGCTCGCGATACTGGCGTGGAGAACCGTTCCGGCGCCGACAGCATGCGTGGCGGCGTCGCCGCGAGCGCGGCCACTCGAGCAGGCTCCCCCGATCTGCGTTCAGGTGTGCCTGGCGGCTCGTCAGCCGGCCCAGGGGGGCCTGGGTGGCTGGCTTCGCCGACCCGTTGTCCGTGGTAGCCGTAGCGCGCCTCCCGCGGACTCCTCGCCAGTGCGCGCTGCTCCTGTCGTGGTGGTGGCAGTGCTTGTCCTGGCGCTGGTGCTGGTGGCGGCGCTGCCGGTCGCTGTCGCGGTGCTGCTGCTGGTCGCTGTCGTGGCGGTGGCGTTGGCGTTTCTGCGGGTCGCTGTCGCAGGGTGTCGTCGTGGTGGTTGCAATGTTGCTGCTGCTGGTGCTGGTGGCCGTCGTGGTGGTGGTGGTGCTGCTGCTGCTGCTACTGCTGCTGGTCGTCGTGGTGGTGCTGCTGCAGCTGGTCGCAGTGGCGACGCTGCCGCTGGTGATGTTTGTCGTGGTGGTGGTGTTGCTGCTGATGTTGCTGCTTGTCGTCGTGGTGGTGGTGTTGCTGGTCGTAGTCGTTGTGCTGCTGCTCGCGGCGCCGCTGTTGGGAGTCGTACCGCCTCTTGTGGTCGAAGTTGTTGTTGCGTTGCTCCTGTGGGCTTGCTGCACAAGCCGAGGCGCCACCGAGGACCGCAGCGAAGCCGCTGGAACACCGATGGGCGACTGGCCCCAGGGCGGTCCTATCGTGGGAATGGGGCTCTTCTCCTGGGGGGCACGGGCTGCAGCTGGTGCCAGCCCCCTCCCTCGGAAGGGGCTGGAGGGCTAGCGGCCAGACGTCTGGAATGGCCATCTGGGGTGGCGGAGGGCCGTCCTGGCCGCTGCCGCCACGGTGCCTGCTGCTGTCGCTATTGCAGCTGCTGCTGCTGCTGCTGCTGCTGCTGCTGCTGCTGCTGCTGCAGCTGTTGCTGCTGCTGTCTAGGGGCTGCCGTCCGCAGTCGTTGGCTGCGTGCCGTGGTGCAGTGGTGATGCTGATCGTCGCTGTGGTACTGGTCATTGGGTGCATGCTGTACTGGTCGTTTGGTGCGTGCTGTGACGCTGGACGTTGGTGTTGGTCGCCGTGGTCGCTGTGGTGCTGGTCGTGGCTGTGGTGTTGGACATTATCATCGCCGTGGTGCTGGTCGTGATACTGTGTGCTGCTGGCGTGGTGTTGCTGGTCTTGTGGTCTTTCCGCCAGTGGTCGCTGTGGTGTTGTTGGCTGTGCTTGCTGCTCTTTGGGCTGCTGGTCGCCGCCGACGTGTTGCTCGTGGTGCTGCCTCGGTCATCAGCTGCAGCTGCTCGCCGTTCCTGTCGCTGCTGCCACCGCCGTTCTCGGCGTTGTTGCTGCTGCGGTCGCCCTCGCGGTGCTCGCCATTGTCGGCGGTGCTGTGCTGAGGCTGTGGCTCCGGTCGCCGTGGCAGGTGTTGGCCCTCTTCGGCGGCTGTCCTCCTTCCTCTTCTTTTAGTGGCTGGGCCACCCGGCTGCCTCGCGATGGCGGGCCTGCTCCTCCAGAGGCCTGCTCGCGCCATTTCTGCGTCCGCCTCTGCCTTGGTGCGTGGTCGTGGTAAGGGCTGACCCTAGCGGCCCAGCGTGACCGCCAGCACGTGGGCGTGAGCCACTGCATGCCCGGCCCTGCGTTGCTGCGGCGTCTCTCCTCGGCCTGCTGCGCCTCCTCGCGTTTGGCCTGCTGCTGCGGCTGCGTTGGCTGTCACTGCGGGTGCTGCGGCGCCTCCTCGGCCCCCTATGCCTCGAGCGCCCTCCTGGAGCGCGGCCTGCCGCCAGCGCCTCTGGAACCTCTCGGCGAGAAAGCCTCGCCGCCGTTGGAAGGCGGTCTCCCGCTCCAGGAGTGCGGCGTGCTCTGCCAGCAGCTTCGAAGCCTGTCGCTGCCCGCCTGTGGCGTCAGCGCGTGTTCCTGCGCGCGCGCGCGGCGCCCTGCCTCTCTCATCTGCGCTCTGCTGCGTCTCCTGCTGGCGTGGCGGCGCTGCTGCCGCATTCTTCTCCTCCTCGTCCTCCTACCTCTCCTCCTCGTCCTCTGCTTCCCTGGTGCTTCTCTGTCTTTTCGCTGTCGGTGGTTTCTGTGCTGCCTGCCGCCGGAGCCTCTGCGGGAGCTGCTGCCAGCGTCTCTCCCCCTCGAGCCCTCCCCCGGGGCCTGCACCGCACGCGCGTCCAAATGCCTGGGGGCGGCCCTGGGTCCCCGGGGGACTGGCGCCTGCAGCTCGCCAAGGCCTGTCTGCCTCGGCCGCCTCTGCTGCCACTCGGCCTCATCTGCGCCGTCTCGTAGCCTCCCTCGGCCTCGCGCCCATTATCCTCTGCCTCCTCAAGCGTTCGGGCGCGCCTCCCTCGTCCTCCCGCCTCAGCCTCCCCAGCCTCCTCAGTTTTCTTCTCTTCGCCCTCTTCTGCCTCCTCTGCGTCCTCCTGGCGCCCAGGCTCCTCTCCCTCCTTGGGCGTTCTCGCTCGCCTCTTTCGCCCGGCCTCCTCTGCGTCCTCAGGTGCCCTCCCCTCTGCGCCGCCTTCTTGTGTGCGTGTTGCTCGTCTGCCTCCGGCGCCCTGGCTCCTGTTGCGCTGCTTCCTCGTTCTCCTCTTCCTCGTCCTCGGCGCCTGCTGTGGCGTTGCCGGCTCTGGTCGCGCTCTGCCTCCCCTCGTGCTGCCCTGCCGCTGCTTCCCCAGCGGGGCTGTGCAGCAAATCGGCGTGCAAGTGCCTGCCAGCGTGCCTGGGCGATGGCGCCATCGCGCGCAAGCCCCCGACGCGCTTGCTTGCGCTTGAGCTTGAGCCAGCACCTGCTCCACACTCAAGACCTTGAGCGCGCTTGAGCACCAGCTCCTGGCCGGCAGTGTCGCGTGTGTCCCACACGCAATACCTACTTCAGGGACAACGTATCCAGGCCAACCCTTACCAGGGCGAACCTAGCCATGCTAAGGTCAGCCTCGCGACCAAGAGCAGTCTACTGGCTACACACGATGCCCACCAGCGAGGGACACACGTCCAAGGCCATGCCGTTCCAGGCGGCCACAAGCTGGCGCTTCAGGATCCCACGCAGGTGCGGGGCCGCCAGCCGCCCGGGCTGCCGAGCCCCACTGGGCCCGCTCGGAGACCACCTGGCCGCGTGCCCACGCACCAGGCTCCTCGCCAGACGCGCGAAGCCGCTCGAGCGAGCTTGGGCGAGGGTCGCAAGAGAAGCCGGAGGGAGGGTAGTTCCCCAACAGCTGCTGCGAGACACCCACGCCGTCGCCCACGACCCACAAGACCGCCGACAGTTAAGATATGGTTGTCTACGGCATCTCACCAAACGGAGCCCCCCTGTGCTGCGACAGCACCACGGCTTCCCTGCTGCGCAGGGACGGCGGGAAAGACCGCGCACTTTCCACATCGACGGGGCCGCCCTACGGGGCCGAGCAGTGCAAACGACGCAGGCACCATGAACTAACAACCGGCCAATCTGGCCACCTCCTGGCCCGCCCTCTCCTGCGAGGTCGGCGGCCGGCGGGGGCGAGACTCTCCAGCTGACCCGCCTGCTTGCCAAGCTAAAAGCGCGAGCCGCACCCGCTCTCCTGGGTCGCTTGGCGGAGCTCGCGTGGACCAACCTGGTGGGGCTCTTGAGCGTCGCGGCCCAAGACGCGCCCACGGCAACTCTGACAGGCGAAAGCTCCCTGGAGGACGTCCCAGACCTGGCCGAAGTACTGCTCGCAGACACCGCCGACCCACCTGCGAGCAGGCTGCCAGCACGCCCCTGATGCTCGGCACCCAGGCTAGCGTGGCCGCGCGTGGGCGCTCCAACAAGCGCAGGGAGCACCCCCAAGCCGAGCGCCACAAGCGCGACGAGCAGCACCACCAAGAGCACCATGACGGCGACTGCCACCACCACAGGCAGGGCCACGGCCACAACGTGACCACAACCACGACCGTGACCAGCAGCAGCGCCACCACCACCACGAAGGCGACAAGCACCACCAAAGAAGCCATAACCACGACCGCGACGATCGAGCAGCGCCACCACCAGCGCCGCCAAGCTTGCGAGCCGCGCCACTACTAACAGCAGCACCGAAAACACAGCTGCGACCAGCAGCGCCACCACGACCGCGGCCAACAGCCGCACCACGACCGCGACCAACAACGGCACCACCACGACAGCGACCAGAAGAGCCACGACGACGACAAGCAGAACCACAACCACAACCACGAGCACGACCAACAGCTCCACCACCGCAACCACGACCAGCAGCACCAAGGCGGCGACCAACAGCGACCTGGCGACCGCGACCTGCACCGCCACCAGCAGCAAAGCCACGACGACTGC